CCAGCTGCTCGTTGGAAACCCTGTAATTATAGTGTGACTCTGAAACTGAATTGACTCGGTGGCACTTAAAAACAACTCAGTCATGGATCCAAACCCCTGGCTTCTCAAGGAGGGGGTTATCTCCCCATCCCTCCCCTCACTGCTCCCCAGCCTCACCCAGAGTCTGGCTGGTTAAGTGTCCATTCATTCGGGCTCTCCTTTTGCTGCCCCTGGGCTCCGAGGTATTTTTAGTTCTGAGCAGCCACCTCTGGGTGGTGATTGGCAGCAAGTGGGCAGAGTTTCTGAGCCCTCCGTGTTGTTTCTGGCTCCACATGAGAGGTGTCTGGGCACCCCAGTCCACAGCTGCTTCATTGTCCCTGGGGGAGGGGCAAGGGGCTGCTGCAGCCACCGGGCCCGAGGCTGGGAGCATTCTTTCCTGTTGATTCATTAAAGGGAATGTTTGGGGCTCAGCTGGGGCGGGGCAGGGGCACTGAGGGGACATCCTGGACACAGGCAGCAACACCATCAGTGTGACTTGGCCGTTGGTAGGTTTCAGAAAGGTCCACCTGACCATCCCCCAGGTTGTGGCAGTCATTATTTACAGATCTGCCTCCACCCCCCTCCAAAGCCAGCTGGCCCCTCCCGCCCACCCCCTGCAGTGTCTAGCACTCCAACGCAGTGTCTAGCATGTAGGAGAAAATCAACAAACTATCTTTGAATGAATGGACCTTTGGAGCAACTCTCAGGGAACTGGGGGTAAGGAAGAGAGGGATTTTCTACAGCCTGTACTGGTCTCAGTCTCAGGAGGAAGCTGGGGACACCGAGGCAGTGGGAAGGGCTGGAGCCTGAGTGCTCAACTCCGGAGATGGGACTCCTCCCAGCCATTCCTACACGTGTTTTCATCCGCAGCAACCTGGGCCCTCCACACTCACCTCCCCCACCAGCTCCCCAGTTCTTCCAGAGTCAAGGATGCCTCTATCTCCTTTGTGTGGGGCTGGGGTGCAGGCTTTAAGTTCTCTCATTGACTATTTGAGGGAGCCCTGGTGGCGTCATGATTAAGCGCTTCTGCTTCTGTAAAGATTTACAGCCCTCAGGGCAGTTCTACTATGGGGCCGTTCTATTCTGTCCTATGGGGCTCTGAGTTAGAATCCATCCGACAGCAATGAGTTCAGGCATTACTGAGAGAGCAAGTTGTCTCTTAGGACTCCATGTTCCCATCTGCACAATGGGCACACTTAGCACTGAGCTCAGACTCGACACTGGAGAGGACTTCCAGTTTCTCCAGCTCCACCCTGACTTCATTTAAAGAAGTCTAGAAGGGATTCAGACCCTGCACTTTGTAAGAGTGAAGCGCTCTGAGCAGGGCTCACTGAATTTCATTCACAGGTTCCCTCCTTTTGCACAGGAGAGGGGCCGAGGCCACACAGGAACTAAAGGCCAGGGCGGAGTGTAGACACAGCCGTGGGGCCAAGCCGCTGTCCTCGCAAGCAGAGACTCTGATCCTCCCACGGTTCTTCCTGCAGGAGCACCAGCCTGTTTCCTCCGCTCAACTCTGAAAACAGCTGACCCTCCGCACCGGCTACACTCAGTCCCTGAACTGCCCAACCCTGCGGGACCCTGGGACACTGACGGCTGCGGAGGTGGGGCTCTTCCCCGGCACCCCGCCTCCCGGCCCGGGTCCCGCGGGGGGCGCTGGCTGAGGGCCCGGCGGGCGGGGCGCCCGGTTATTCCCGGTCCTCCCGGGGGCGGGGCCTCCTCCGTGGCCAGCTGCTGGAGGGGGGGGGGCGCCTGCGGGCAGCAGCCGTATAAAAGGGCCTGAGGGTGCCCCAGGAGGCCCGTTAGCCCTGCACGGCGGAGCCCTGGCCGGCCCCAGGCCGGGCCCAAGACCCCCAAGACGGTCCACGCCAACAGGTGAGCCCCAGCCTAGCCTGGCCCCAGATACTTCGAACTGTGCTGTCTGTCCCTCTGCCTCTCAGTCTTAAGACCTCTGGAGGGTTCAAGTAACGGGATCTGAGAACGTTGGGGATCATCGCAAACTCCCGGCCCAGACAGGCAGCCTCCTAGCCTCATTAATGTGTTTGCAGTTGGGAAAATGACCTAGTTTGGGAGCTTGGCCTCAGGCCCGGGATGGTACGCCCTTGCCTAAATGTGTTCTCTGTGTCTTGTTTATGACATGTTAGGGCAATCATTTCTCTGCCTTCTAAACTAGGGACGAGGCAGGGGAGTGGCAAGGTGGGTTCAAATGTCACTCCTGTGATTTAGGGGACCAAGAGGCAGGGAGGAGCTGGGTTCACCAACTAACCAGACCAGAGCTGATTATGCTCCAAGGGGTAGGGGGACAGGGCACTTTACTCCTCTCTCCCCCTCCCCAAAGCTGAAGACTGAGCAGGCAGCTGCTTCAGTGGCCCCGGGAGGGCATCAGTGTTGAGAATGGGAATCGCCAGTCCCCTAAGGCTGGCACTCTCTTCCGGGGACATTTGTCCTCTTCCAGCCAGGTGCCTGGGTCCTCTGGCAGAACCTGAATCAGGTGGCTCTTTGCCTCAAGCTGCCAGGATTCAGGATCTGCCGCTCAGTTGGGCTCAGGACTGGCACCAACCCCGTGCCCTCACACTCAGCCGGGATCATAAATCAACCAGCAACAGGGCGAAATTCAATTCATCTCCTTGCTCCCTTCCCTCTCCCCACTCCTCTTCCAACATCCATCTCTCCTGAGGTGAGGGCCCAGGTGTCTGGTGCCAGACTGTGGCTTTGAATCCAGGCAGGGACAAATCACTTAACTTTTTTGGGCCTCATTTTCTCACCTGTAGAATGGAGATAAGTATTCAATATCTTAAATGTAGTAGTATTATTAACCTCTTATATCTTAAATGTAGTAGTATTATTAATCTCTTATTTTAAACCTCCCTGCTTCTCCTCCATTTTCCTCCCCGTCCTCTTCCCTTACAATAGGTAGAGAATCACTACTCTTGAGTTGGTTCCTTCTCTCAGGGAGGATTTTCAGCCTGGTTAGTTTTTCTGTCCTCAGCTCCAGAGAATAGATGCAGCTGGTTGGGGAGACAGGAAGGTGGGAAAACTGAGAGGACTTAATGAAGGAGGCAGCATTTGGGTTGGGTGTTGAAGGATGTGTAGGAGTTTATATGAGATACAGAGAAAGGGCATGCTAAGTATAAGGAACAATGAGAGCAAATGCTTGGGGCCAGTGAATGTAGAATCTGTTTGGAGCTTGATCAGAGACAAATTTGATGCAAGCAAAAGCTATAGGGGTCTCTGCAAGGGGCAGGAAGTCTAGGGAGAGGGGCTGTCTCTAAATCTGACTCTCAGTTCCTGTTGCTGCTCCTTTTACCTCCTGATTCAGTGGACATCATCTAGTGCAGTAACTCCTGATGTCACTCTCCCTGTGGGTGGGATCAGCTGGTATCCCCGCCCCCATTCTTGAGTGGAGAGGCCTTGTCCTGCCCAGCTTCCCCTCCCAGTCCTGTCCCCTCAGCTCCTCCCCTCTCTCATTGGCCAATGCAGAGATCCTCTGGGTCTCCAACCCTGGCAGGCACCTTGGCCCTCCTTCCCAGACCCAGACTAACGTGTGTTGGGGGTGGGGGTGGGTAATGAGTCATTGTACTGGATGACTGGTGACAATATTCCTAGTGATGTCACTGTCTTAGCGGCCCCTCCTCCTACATGGGGACCCTGGGGTCATTTTGGTGTCACCCCTTCTGAAGTCTGTACACCCCTGCATGCTCCTGGGCCAGCTTTCATGACAGCAGGCTGCCCCAGTCTGAAGCCCATTCGTGCCCTCAGGGAAGCCCTTTGAAGAATGGGAGCTTGCTGGCTGGCATCACCCCAGCCTCTCCTAAGAGCTCCTCAGTACTTTAGGAACTTCAGCCCTATGCCAACCAGTAGACTTGCCTGACCACCCCATGTCTTAGAAGTGCTGCAGCTTAGACTCAAGAGAGGAAAGCACATGATTCCAAGCATACATACAGCTTGGTGCATCTTGATCCCTGGAGAGTCATCTTCTCAGGCAGGATCAATGTGATCACGGGACCCTCACAGCTGGAGGGCTCTGAAGCCAAGCCTGCCATCCCCTCTCATCATCTGGGGAGCTCAGAGGAACCGCAGGAGCTCCTGAGTGGGGAATGTCTGGGAAGGATGTGCTGTGGGAAAGGGGGTAGAGGGGATCAGAGAGGAACCTGAGGGATGGTGCAAAGAAGGGTGCCCTGGGCTTGAGTTGAGATAGGTCCTCCTTTGTGGAGCCCAAAGCCGTGGTTCTAAAGCAGCAATTACAGTTGTTCTTTGTGGCTAAGTGCTAATCGCTGTCCAGTCCACTCTGACTCATGGAGACGCCATGTGCTGCAGAAGAGGGTTTTCCATATGGTTTTCCGGACTGTGGCTCTTGGGAATCAGATCGCCTGCCCTTTCTTCTGATGCTTAACTGTGCCACTCAGGAATAGGTGTTATTTACTGAGTACCTAACATGCCCTGGTGTGGAGCTGTGGGTTAATGCGCCACACTGCAAAGCCGTTTGAATTGCAAGGTCAGTGGTTCAAGCTCACCAGCTGCTCCTCGAAAACCCTATACAGGGTTGCTACGGGTCGGAACCAACTCGAAGGCACTTCACAACAACAAACATGTCCTAGGTCTGTGTTAAGTACTTTACATGAGGGGCAGGGCGGGGGCTTCAAAAAGTTCATTGAAACGTTCCATTATCTTGTAATTCCATTTGTCCATGAACTTTTTGAAGTAGCCTGGTATAATGTTTTATTTAACATCCATAACAGTGCTGGGAGGCAGGGATTATTAGCCCCATATTACAGAAGAGGAGATTGAGACTCAGTAAAGTTAAGTACCTTCCCCGAGGTCACATAGCCAATAAATGGTACCCAGACTCCATCAATGCCACCACATATGATGTAGCTGCAGGTGTCCTGCTGTCCTTTGTCCCTGCCAGCAGCTGTCTGAGGTCATGGGTAGAGATGGTGGGCAGTAGGTCACCAATGTCATGTCTATTTATTCCTTAGGTGTCTTGGCCCCAGCAGCCCTTGTAGTCTCCGTGATGTGGTTCCCAGCAGTCACCTTCCCCCTGATCCTGCTGCTGCTGGGCCAGGCCCCTCCAAGCAGGCCACAGCCACTGGCCACCACGAAGCTGCGGCTGGTGGGCCCAGGGAGCAGGCCCGAGGAGGGCCGCCTGGAAGTGCTATACCAGGGTCAGTGGGGCACCGTGTGTGATGATGACTTCGCCCTGCAGGAAGCCACCGTGGCCTGCCGCCAACTGGGCTTTGAAACTGCCTTGACCTGGGCCCACAGTGCCAAGTATGGCCAAGGGGAGGGTGAGTGACTGGTGCTACCCAGAGGAATGATAAGAACTTGGTGGCAGGTATTTCTCAGGGATGGATTCACCGAGACGCCAACGGAATGCCCATCCGTTAGTCCCTTTAACAGTCCGCTCCAATGACCTCCTCCATGGGGCACTTCCCGAGTGTTCCAGCTGCACATGATTCTTGCTCTGACCCTGTCTCCTGTTACCACTATCGTCACTGTCACCACCATCACCATCTCTAAGCTCTAAGCCAATGGCCATTAGCATTGCCAAAGAGTGCACGCTCAGCAAATGTTGTTAAATGGATGAATGGGCAAGCAAATAGGTCTAGTTACTAGGTGGGCACAGGCTAGCATTTCCCAAAAACAGATTCTACAGGACCAGATGCCAAGAGGAGGCAGTAGGCAGGGCTTTGAATATCAAGATCCCCAGAGAACCATCTCCCTACTTCCTACTCAGGACCCATGACCTGATTTACAAGACTCCCTCCTGAGTATGCACCTGCCCTCTGCCCCCAGGCCCCATCTGGCTGGACAATGTGCGCTGTGCGGGCACGGAGAGCTCCCTGGACCAGTGTGGGTCTAACGGCTGGGGCGTCAGTGACTGCAGCCACTCAGAGGACGTCGGGGTGGTGTGCCATCCTCAGCGCCAGCGTGGCTATGTTTCTGAGAGGGTCTCCAATGCCCTCGGGCCCCAGGTAAGCAGGTGATTCAGGACCTAGCAGGACTGGGAGCTTCTTGGATGGGGAGTGTGGAGGAGGAGGGTTAGGGAGAAGGAACAGAGCCTGGGGTCTGACGCCCTGGTTTTAGCCCAAGAGCAGGTGCCTGGCTAAAGGCTGGGCCTGTGGGGAATCTCAGAAGCTACTCCACACAGGAGAGGGAGTAGGGGAGCAAGGGGCTGCCTCCCCCACAAGGCCCAGCCACAATTGGTGCCTCTTCCCAGCACAAACAACCCCGAGCTAAAAACAGCCCAAACCAAACAACAGGAGTGGGCAGGGCCAGCCGCTGGATTCTGCACTCTGCCCGCCAGGCAGCCTTCCGCCTGAGGACAGCTGGCCCTGGACCACTGCACGTGGCAGGCTGTGATGGGCACCATATTGATCTGAGTCACCCAAGGCTGAGGGCTTCTGGGCCAGGTTCTGCTGGATGTCTCTGCTCTTCCCAGAGTGGCATGATGAAGGCCACTCTGCCTGGTGAAAGTCCCCCAAACTGCCACAGATCCCCATCCTAGCCCCAGGAAGCACTCCACCTACTTTTCCTTGTGTTTAGCACATTTGATGAGGCTGACAACAACAAATCCCATCGCCATTAAGTCAATTCTGACTCATTGCAACCCAATAGGGTCCAAAGCTGTAAATCTTTATAAAAACAGACGGCCCCACCTTTCTCCTACAGAGCTGCTGGTAGGTGTGAACTGCCAACCTTTGGTTAGCATCCAACTGCTGTAACCACTATGTCACCTGGGCTCCTTGGAGTTGAGGAGAGAGTCCTAGAAAAACCATGCTTCTGCCTTGTACTCACTGTGGGTCTCCATTTCCTGACCTGAGGAGGGGGTTGGTGGGATGGTATCTGAGGTCTCTGGGCTGCAGGGCACAGCAGGTGAGGCTGGAGGAGGCCTGGTGCCCACAGGTACTGTGCACCCTGCAGGGCCGGAGGTTAGAGGAGGTGAGACTCAAGCCCATCCTTGCCAGTGCCAAGCGGCAGAACCCAGTGACCGAGGGGGCCTTGGAGGTGAAGTATGAGGGACATTGGCGGCAGGTGTGTGACCAGGGCTGGACCATGAACAACAGCCGGGTAGTGTGCGGAATGCTGGGCTTCCCGAGCCAACAGCCTGTCAACAGCCACTACTACAGGTAGGGGGCGCTGAGCCAAGGCCAGAGGGCTTGGGAGGTGGTCTCTGACTCTGTGTGTGAGGGAGAGAGACCTTGCAGAGGGCAATGAAACTCTCAGGGTGGGTGTCAGTGGGTTTGAGGGGTGGATAGAGAGTTTGCCTGAATTTCCAGGAACAAGGTACTGGGAAATCTTTAGAAATTTTAAGAAACACACAAGCTATGTGTTTCTGACTTGAAAACTAGACTGTCCTGAAGCTACTGACAGCCTGCCTACAAGTGTAGACGGGCCTCAGCTCTGCCAGGCATCGGCTGTGGGCAGCTTGATAGTGCACCTGGTCCTCAATTACCCATTCCTGAGAAGTCTCTTAACTTTGCCCCAGTGAATGATCTCAACAGAGTCCCAGCAAGGCTGTGCTGGGTTGTGTGTAAGTGAAGCATAGGGAGGGAGAGGGTTGGGAAGAGGAGACAAAATTACTGTCAGAACAGCACAGAACTGTCAGGAGTAGTTGCGTCAGCCCCGGATGCCAGTGAAAACTGCGTGCTTTTCACCAGCGGAGGACCAGCACGAGGCAAACATCTGTGTTTGTTTCTCTTGGTTAAGGGGTTGGAAATCCCCTACTGGCTTTTGCGTCTCTGACTTAGGCCATCCTGAAGGAGGGAAGTCACATGCTCCATCTTTGGGGATGGCTGAGATTTGGGCCCTGGATCCCATTGCCTATAATTACACATCTGGGTGGTGCTGACTCATCCAACATCCACGAGGACAGTTCTGATTATAGCTTGGGTGTCTCTGGGGTGGGCTGCCCTGACCAACAAGGTCTTCACCTTCCACCTGTCCCTTCTCTCGGGGGCTCCCCCTAAAGGCTTCCCTTCACTTGGACTGGAGGGAGATGAGCTAGGAGCTGCAGGCCTCAGGGGACCTTGTTAGGCCTTGCCTCATTCCCTGTGAATGGTAGTCATTGTTACCTTACATGTTTACTCTCCTGGGGCTGCTGTGAGATTTGTGGACAAGTTTACACATTGAGAAGTCCAGAGCAGATACGAGGCACCTAAGTGGTAGGGAGTGGGGCTTCCATACCTCTTCCATGCCCCACTTGTGTTTTGCCTCCACAGGAAGGTCTGGAATCTGAAGATGAAGGATCCTAAATCTAGGTGAGGAGGGGCCTCCTTAATGGGGTTTGCTGAGGGATGAGGCATGAAGGGCCTCCCCACCCGGAATCTCCCTGGTCTTCCAGGCTAAAGAACTTGACTAAGAAGAATTCCTTCTGGATCTACCGTGTCACCTGCCTGGGGACAGAGCCTCACATGGCCAACTGCCAGGTGCAGGTGTCTCCAGCCCGGGGCAAGCTACAGCCAGCCTGCCCAGGGGGCATGCACACTGTGGTCAGTTGTGTGGCAGGGCCCCGCTTCCGCCCACCCAAGGCGAAGCCTCCTCACAAGGAATCCTGGGCACAGGTGAGTCCCTCGGCTGCACCCAGGGCTCCTCAGGGTCCCCAGGACAGCAGGACAGGAGAGAGGAGGCACCAGTGGTTCAGGCTGGGGTTGACTTTCAAAGGACAGTTTGCAGCCCTCCTATCAATGGGCTATGGGTGTCACCTGCCAGGAATAGAAGGTAAACATAAAAACAGTAATTAAATTGTAGCTACATCCTGTCTAGGGTGAAGGTGCTGAACCTCAGTCTGGCCCTTTGTTTTAAAAAGGAGGTGAGCTAGCTCTAGTAAGGTGTTACAGACAGACTGGCGCCCAATTGGCCTTTGATGGCATAGAAGACAAAGAATTACAACGAATAACTCCCCCTCTATATCCCTGCACCTCCCCAAAATCAGTTCACAGACTTGTTTGAATAAGTGCTGACCCAGAGACAAGAAAGAAGCCATGGCTCAGAGCGAGGAAGGGACCTGCCCAGGGAGTGTTGAGGTGCAGGCTTGCCTCCTAAGGCTCTCTCCGTTGAGCTGAAATCTGTTATTACTGTGGCTATTATAAAAGCAATCTCCCACATTGCCAGTGAAGAAGTGGAGGCTGAAGGCCTATCCAAGGTGACAGCTGTGGGAGGTCTAAGGCAGGAGCCTCCACTTAGTGTCCATTTGGAGGTCTGCTCAAGTCCTAGGGCCCTGCCCTCGTTTCCAACCTGAAGCCGTTTTCTCCCTGCAGGAGCAGAGAGTGCGCCTGCGCTCCGGAGCCCAGGTGGGCGAAGGTCGGGTGGAAGTGTTCATGCACCATCGGTGGGGCACTGTCTGTGACCACAGGTGGAACCTCGTCTCTGCCAGCGTCGTGTGTCGTCAGCTGGGCTTTGGCTCTGCTCGGGAGGCCCTCTTTGGGGCCCAGCTGGGCCAAGGTGAGGGGTCTGTGGTGGTGTGTGAGTTCCTGCCATGCCAGGCCCAGGACAGGAACTTCTGTGTGGAGGGGAAGCCACAAGTGAAGCTTCCAGAAACAGTGCCTCACCCAGCACCTCCCCCCCCACCCCCCACAGGACTGGGCCCCATCCACCTGAGTGAGGTGCGCTGCAGGGGGTCTGAGCGGACACTCAGTGACTGCCACGCCCTGGAAGGGTCCCAGAATGGTTGTCAGCACGAGAATGATGCTGCTGTCAGATGTAACGTCCCTAACATGGGCTTCCAGAATCAGGTGCGCTCAGGTCTGCCCCGGGCTGGGGCTGGGGGAGCAGGTTACCAAGATTTCCCCCGGCACGGGCATCCAGCGGGGAGGAGATGCAGCTGCTGTTTCTGCCTTGGGCTCAGCTGGCCCTCCCACCCTACCTGGCCAGGCCTGTGTCCCTCAGGTCAGGCTCTCAACTCCAGATGGTAGGGGACCACAGGGGCTCTTATGGTGGACCACTCTTCTACCACACCTTCTCAAGGCACCTGTAAAGTTGGAAAGAAGGGGCCAGGTGGGCCTGGGAAGTGTAGAGGTCGGGTGGGATGAAGAGGGTCCTAGTCTCAGTGCTCAGGGGACCAGGCAAGCCGCCCCATGTCTCTTATCTTGGTTCTCTCGGGGTTCACATGTCATAGCCACTGAATTGAGCCAGCAGATGTGAAAGCCTTTTACAAACGGTGAGTTATTCATCGTAGGATTTCAGACCAGGTAGGAGGAGGACAAGTACTTGAGCCGGAGGCCCTGGTGCAGGTTTCACGAGCCTATTTCTCCATCAGACAAGACCACTGTTGTTGTTAGGTGCCATCCAGTTGGTTCTGACTCATAGTGACCCTGTACAGGGTTTCCTAGGCTGTAAATCTTTATGGGAACAAAGTTGAATCTTTCTCCCAGAGTGGTTGGGGATTTGAAGTGCTGACCTTGCGGTTAGCAGTTCAACATGTAGCCCACTATGCTACTAGGACTCCAGACAAGGCCGTTTGTTGCTGTTGTGTGTGTCATCACGTCAGTTCCAATTCATAGTGACCCTCTATAGGGTTTCTGAGAGCAGCAAGTGGGTTTGATCCACCAACCTTGTGGTTTGCTAAACCTACAGCGCCATACCAGGACTCCCGGGCCATTAGAGACCTTCTAATAAAATGACCTCTTTCCAGAGGAAGCAGACCTAGGGAAGGGGTCTTGTCTAGGCTCATAGAGAGCTATCTTGGGTGGGTCTCCTTCCTAAGGCCCCTGCTTCTCACACGCCGGCAATCCTTGCAGGTGCGCTTAGCTGGTGGGCGCAGTCCCGAGGAAGGTGTGGTGGAGGTGCAGGTGGAGGTGAATGGGATCCAACGCTGGGGGGCTGTGTGCGGTGACCACTGGGGGCTCACCGAAGCTATGGTGGTCTGCAGACAGCTCGGTCTGGGTTTTGCCAACCATGCCATCAAGGTAGGTTCCTGTCTCGAGCCTTCCCTACAACCCCTTGGGTCCCCCGACTGTGAGACCCAAAGCTTCCTCAGAAGTTGCACTCTGTTCACTCATTCAACAAGTCATTAACTGAGAGACACTCTGGGTCAGACCTAAGGCTACATGCTGGAGAGACGTGTGACCAAGAAGATAGACTCCTGCCTCTGGGATCAGTCAAGAGGGGGGTTATTGTCATGTGCTGTCGAGTTGTTTCCAACCCACAGCGACCCTGTATAGGATTTCCAAGGAGCGGCTGGTGAGCTTGAACCACTGACCTTGTGGTTCAAACGACTTTGCAGTCCAGAGCATTAGCCCATAGCACTCAGTTCACAGTGTTGCACACAGAAAGCATGGCTAGAGGAGAGGCCATGCACAGGCCTGCCTGGTGGCCAGTGAACGCCTAATTCAGCTGAGAAAACAAGAGACCAGGGATTGGACGATGGTTATCAAGGGGGAGAGTGGTGTAAGGGATGAGGATGGAGGAGGCAGGGACCAGGGTATGCAGATGTTTGAAAGATGCTTTCCTTTGAGAAAACAGTAGGGGTGGAAACAAACCTGGATGCAGGGAAACACTCAGGAGGCTAGGAATGAGGTGGCTTGGACCAGACTAGTAGAGACACATGGGTAGAGTCAAAAGCTGTCAGGGAAGCATGATCAAGAGGACTTAGGCCCTCTGCAGCTGCACCCACACCAACACGTAGGGCACACCCTGCCTGCAGCCTTGCCTGGAGAGTCAGGTCCAACCCTGAGTGCAGTGAGGAGCAGCTGGGAAATGGAAGATGTCTGGGTGTGGAGGACAGGAGTCCTTTCTCCAAATAGCTGCCTCCACACATAAAAGACATTTCTAGTACTCATAGGGCTACCACGGGGCTGGGGATTCCCTTATTAAAGCATCTCAGGTGAGATGGGATGGTGAGCGGGATCCCGGCTCTGACGCTGGCTGTTTTCTCAGGACACCTGGTACTGGCAGGGGACGCCGGGAGCTGGAGAGGTGGTGCTGAGCGGCGTGCGCTGCTCTGGCACTGAGCTGGCCTTGCAGCGCTGTCAGAGACATGGGCCGGTACACTGCTCCCATGGCCCAGGCCGCTTCTCGGCAGGAGTCTCCTGCACAGATAGTGAGTACCATGAGGGGCCCCGGGGACCCAGAGCTGGTCTTGGAGTGCCAGCTCAGCCATTTACTAGCTGCATATGGCCCTGGGAAGACAAGCCTGTTCTCATGGAATGACTGTGAGAATGAAAAGAGAACATGTGAAAAAAAAACAAAGCAAAACAGAAAACATCAGTGTGCATCACATCACCTTGAATAAGGGTATTTTTTCTTGGAATTGTGAGCGGACTCCTGGGGCACGTCTGTCCCGCAAACCCCGATTCTCAGGGCAGCTGCCAACCAGGTCTGTGTCCAGCCCAATGGCTAAGGGTTGGCATCTGACGAGCAGATACTTTTCTTGCCAATCAAACTTCAGTCCTGGGCCATCCCTAAGCTTTGTGAACGAGCTCTAGAGTATTCTCCTCATGCTGGGCCTTTACATCACAGCCTCCCCAGTGGGGTTATGTGGTGTCAGAGTGGATTTTCCTAACACCCAGCTCCTCACCCACAGCAGCAGCTCTCCTGATGGCTGTGCTCAGCTACCACTCAGACAGCGTTCCTCCTATGTGATTGTTCTCACCTCTTCCCCTCCCTACGTTCATTTCTTTCTCTCTGGAAGCTCTCCTCTTCCCCCTCAGGAACTCTCGGGCTTGTCCGTGGGCAAACACTGGCTCTTTGCAAAGATGCTGGAGGAAGGTGATAGTGCAGGTAACCCCTAGCAAGCCCTGGATGCAGTCATCGAAATACACCAATGTTCCCATTGCCCCTTGGTCAGTGATACCTCTGCCCCAAATCTCAAAGCTGTACCCTGGTGTTTTGCACCATGAGAAGAAGGGGCTGCTTTTCTTCTCTGATGTCATGTGACAATAGCTGTGGCTCTGCACATCTCTGTACTGCCTCATCAGGAGGCAGTGATAGTAGTGATGGTGGAGTAGGCATGGGATGGCAGAGGAGGGCACAGCTCCAGAACAGGAAGGCAGGCAGAGGTCTCAGAAGAGAGATGCATAGAAAGCCCGGCATGGTGCCTACTGGAGCAGTCAGCTTAGAACAGGGCCCTTGCAGGAAGCACAGGCCTAAGAACTGCAGCGGAATGTACTACGTCAGTGTGCGTGAGCAGGCTTGTCGGTTAAGTGGCCCAACTCTCCTTCCCAGCTGTCCCATTCTCTGAAGAAACTATGGCCGAGAGAAAAGAGGATTACGTGGCTAAGGCAGCCCAGCTAGGCAGCAGCAGTCCTCTGTGAGGGTGTTACTGTGGCTGGTTTTTTGGAAAGTGGGTTGCCAGGTCTTTCTTTTGAGGTGCATAAATGGACTCTACCTCTCACCTTTCAGTTAGCAGCCCAGTGTGTTAACCGTTTGCACCCCCAGAAATTCTTGAAGGGGGCCACACTCCCTTTTATTACAACTCCTGACTCAGAAATCCACTGACCCACTGCTGTTGATTTATTCCAACTCATGGCAATCCTACAGAAGAGAACTGCCCCAGTGGGTCTCCGAGGCTGTGATGGACAGCTTCCTTCTGATCCCTAAACTGCCCTTGCTTTCCCAGCTCACTTGGGGTAAAGCTGCCTTTCTACCTTTTGACCCTCTCCTCCCGGCCCCCCTGCCCCTATGCTGCCCTAGGTGCTCCTGACCTAGTGATGAACGCCCAGCTTGTGCAGGAGACGGCCTACTTGGAGGACCGTCCACTCAGCCAGCTGTACTGTGCCCATGAGGAGAACTGCCTGTCCCGGTCTGCAGACCTCATGGACTGGCCCTATGGACACCGGCGCCTGTTGCGCTTCTCCTCACAGATCCACAACCTGGGCAGGGCTGACTTCCGCCCCAAGTCTGGGCGCCACAGCTGGATTTGGCACCAGTGTCACATGTGAGTGCCCAAGCTTGGCCCTAGAGGGTCAGGGACTGAGAGAGTCTGATCTTCCCTGGGGATGTGGGCTCCGCAAGTCTTCCTTCCCAGGTGCCTGACTGGCCCTGCCTCCGGAGGCAGTAAGAGAATCCCAGTAGCATCAAGTTGCCATCTCCATCTTTCTTGCCTCCCCGGGAATGTGCCCATGTTGATGGTCCTCATGGAGAGACACCATCACCAGCAGTAAATGGTATCTGTCAGTTTTCCTATGTTGCACCTCGGGCCATCCGTGTCTCTAGAAGCAAGGTAAACTTGGGACTCCTGGAAACCAGGATGCTGGCTCTAGTGACAGTAAGGCAAGACCCCCAGGATAGTGTGCATAGACTGGTACTAAAAAGGAGACAAAGGGCATTCTTTCAGGAGCCTTCCACCCAGACAATGGGAGACAATGCCTGTGACAAAGGCAGCCTGGGAAACACAGGAGGCTTCCCCCCAGGACACAGCAGTGGGTGGGAAAGCTGAGAGGAATGGGCAGCAACCATGGGACTTGGCCTTGCCTGGGATAATAAGCACCTTTCCCTGTCACATGAACAAAGTTGTCATTACAACTGGATCGGGAACAATGGTAGCAATTTGATCCCTGCCTGAGCTCCCTCCCCAGCAGTTTAGCTCCTAGGCTGGTCCCTGCACCCATTGTCCCTTCCTCCCACCTCCACTTTGGGCCTTGAAGTCTAGCACCAGCCTCCTGGAGGCTACCAGGGCAGAGGTTTTACCTCATTAAAACGGGGTAAGACCCTGGGTGATGGGGTAGGAGTGCCAGGCAAGAGGCTGTGGATTACACTGATCTTGGGACAGAGATGGGTGCTTCCTCCTAAAATGACTTTCCTCTGGGAAATGATGGGGCCTCAGTCTCCTGCCAACCCCTCTCCTCTCTTGCAGGCACTACCACAGCATTGAGGTCTTTACCCACTATGACCTGCTCACTCTCAATGGCTCTAAGGTGGCTGAGGGCCACAAGGCCAGCTTCTGTCTAGAGGACACAAACTGCCCCACAGGTATGTGGCTTCCTATCAGCATGGCTCCAGGAGTGCCACCTCTCATGTTCTATTCCTTAGCACCTTTGGGACCAGACTCCCTCTGCCCTTTCTATCCTCCCAAGGGAAACCTTGGTTTGGAAACAGTCCTCAAGGCAATTCAAGACCAACTCCTCACCTTTTGAAACATTAGGTGATGGTCTCTACTTCTTCTGCATCCCCAACACACTGGGTTTTGTTGTTGTTAGGTGCCATCGAGTTGGTACTAACTCATAGTGACCTTATGCACAGCAGAACGAAACACTGCCCAGTCCTGGGACAACCTCATGATCGTTGCCACACTTGATCACATTGATGCTGCCACTTGGTCAGTCCATCTCCCTGGAGGTCTTCCTCTTTTTCTCTGGCCCTCCACCTTACCAAACATGATATCCTTCTCCAGTGACTGGTCCCTCCTGACAATATGTCCGAAGTATGACAGATGGTTTGGCCATCCTGGCCTCCAAGGAGCACTCTGGCTGCACTTCTTCCAACACTGATCTATTGGTTCATTTGGCAGTCCATGGCACTTTCTATATTCTCCTCCAACACCATAACTCAAAAACATCAATTCTTCTATGGTCTTCCTTATTCACTGTCCAGCTTTCGCATGCATATGAGGTTACTGAAAATACCATGGCTTGGGTCAGGCGCACCTTAATCCTCAAGCTGGTATCTTTGCTCTTCAACACTTTAAAAAAGAGATCTTGTGTAGCAGAGTTGCCTAATACAATACATCACTTTATTTCTTGACTGCTTCTTCCGTGAGTGTTGATAGTTGATCCAAGAAGAATCAAGTCCTTGACAACTTCAATCTTTTCTCTGTTGATAAGAATGTTTATTGGTCCAGTGGTGAGGATTTTTGTTTTCTTTACATTGAAATGCAATTCAACTGAAGGCTGTGCTCTTTGATCTTCATCAGTAATGTTATTAAGTCTTCTTCACACTGGGTATCACTTTAAATACTTGACCATTTCTATCTTAATTCTTATAGCTATGTTAAATTCACCTCTGCAAAATTCTTTGAGGGCATGGACTGTTGGATTCATATTTGTATACCCACAGTTCCTAGCTCTTAGAAATGACATGGTGAACACTGGATCTTCAGAAGGTTGGATAGATGGATAAATGAATTAGCGCAGCAAGGCTGAAATCTACCTACCCTAAATCTAATGACCTGCTCCAGTGCTGGGCTCACATTTATTAGGAATTCTGCCTCAGACACTCGGCAGCTGAGTGACCACACACAAATTAACTTAATCTCAGTTCTCTAACCTGTGGGCACAATGGCACTTAGCTGGTAAGGCTGGTGTAAGAATTAAATGAGGAAAAATGTGATAGACCTAGCAGAGTACCCACTCAGTCCCTCAAAAACGATCTGAACCTTTCCTTACAGGACTGCAGCGGCGCTACGCATGTGCCAACTTTGGGGAACAGGGAGTGACTGTGGGCTGCTGGGACACCTACCGGCATGACATTGACTGTCAGTGGGTGGACATTACAGATGTGGGTCCTGGGGACTATATTTTCCAGGTAAGATATAAACTGGGCAGTGGTAGGGAACTCATCACAGGAACCCCATTTCCTCCAGATGTTCCAAAAGCTTCCGTGAGACCAAATGAAGGGACAGGTTCCCATGTAGTCTTCCACAAGGCTGTCTGCTCTGCCGCAGAGGAATGAGCGTTGAATCCAGATCCATACACCCTGGGTTGAGTTCTCAGTCAATGGACAATAGGCAAGTCGCAGCTAATCAGCTGTGACTTCTCAGTGTCCATCTGTGAAATGGGGATGCTGCTGCCTTTCTAGAGCTGGAACCAACTTTACGGTACCCAACAAAAACAGTGCCTTCCCCTGTGGTGACTGTAGGGATTCAGATACACACCTCACAGAGTGCTGTGTGTAAAGAATCATTATACTGCCAACTCAGGCAGCGACCAAGTCACCAGTTACATTTGTCCCCTTCTCTCACTCCAGGTAGTTGTGAATCCCAAATACGAGGTGGCAGAGTCAGATTTCTCCAACAACATGATGCAGTGCCGCTGCAAGTATGATGGGCACAGAGTCTGGCTGCACAACTGCCACACAGGTAACTCTGAGTCACTGTGGGACCAGCCCAGCACAGGCTCTGGGAGCTGGGAGACTGGACATGTGTGTGTAAGGCCAGGGATGAAACAGACATGAATCTCTTTTGATATTTTTTCACAAGTAGGTTTCTAGAAAAACAAGTCAGTGTCATGCAATAACTGCGTATACCTCCATTTCTTCCTGCTCCCAACTGTTCTAGGATTGTGCTCACCACCTTAAGCCACACAAGAATTTTCCCCTTTCCAGTCTGTTACTGTTTTCTACTCCTCTTCATATGGTTTTTCTCAGTTGTCTCTATCCCAAGCTGAGTGCCTCACATGCAGAAGTCGAAGTCCTCCATGCCATGTTCCTGTCTCCATCTGCCGGGAGCAGTGGAGGCCAGAGTACTAGACATTTATAGTGTGGGTAGCATCAGACAAAGGGAAAACCAATGATTCTGAAGGGCACAGAGTAAGGAGGAGAAGCAGCAGTCCCTCCACCTCCCAATGTGAAAATGCCTCATACACGAAGTGGCTTCAAAAAGCTCATGAGACAATGGAATTTCCCCAGGAACATTCCTGGTATCAGCAGTGCACTCACAGCCACACTAATGTAAGGGGAGGGGTGGGCACAGTGGTTCAGATGCAAACATTAAGATCTTTAATAGTGTGGGACAATGTGCCAGGCACTGGAGATGCCAACAGTAAGATACAGGAGCTCAATGTCAACTGTAGTAAGCATACGGACAACCCTAATGCCAATAATATATTAAAAAAACCCAGACATTTACTAAATGCTGGGCAAGCATAGAGAAATAGCATAAGCCTAGGGAAAGGAGTTCTGGTAGCATAGTGGTTATGAGTTGGGCTCTAACCTCAAGGCCAACAGTTCGACACTACCAGCTGTTCCACTGGAGACAGATGAGGCTTTCTGCTCCCTTAAAGATTTACAGCCTCAGAAACCCTATGCAAGGTAGCTACGAGTCAGAATCGACTCCATGGCACACCATCAGGGGCTGGAAAAGGCCTTTCAGAAACAGTGACATTTCATCTGGGTTTCAAGGGAGGGGCAAACATCACAGGAGAAGAGAGTAGGAGCAGGAGCGTATTCAGGAGGCTTCACTGGGTTCCAAACCTCACTCCACCACTTTCTAGGCAGAAGACTGCCAGGTTTTCTCTTTTGCAGCAGAGGGATGCACATCTCAAATTCATTAAAGTTCTTTGTAAGGAGGGTGCTGATAGTTCTAAGAGAATGGAATTCCTCCTGTGGGCTTCTTGGGAACCATTTCTGCTTTCAGAGAGTATCTCTGGGAACTGAGGGAAGACAGAGGAAGAAGAAGAAGAAGGAATCGTCTAAGGCTTCTAATTTGCGTGCCTGGGTAGACTCTGCTGCCATTAACTGAGACAGGAATTTGGGAGAGATTGGGAATTTGGAGTCTGAGGCTGGGAAGATGGAGATAGCAGATTCTGCAAATGCTGCAATTGGGCTGCAAGGGAAGCCCGGTGGTGATAAGAGAAAGTAAAGTATGGCAGTTCTGCAGGTCCTTTCACCAATGGTCACCAAAATAACCAGCTGCTGTTGAGTCGATCTCGACTCCCAGCAGCCCTGGTGGTGCCGTGGTTAAAGCACTAGGATGCTAGTTCAAAACCATCTGTTTCTCCATGGTAGAAAGACGTGGCAGTCTGCTTCCATAAAGATTACAGTCTTGGAAAGTCTAAGGGGAAGTCCAGCTCTAAAGGCTATAAGCCATCCATGGTTAGCGATCTCTATGTATGTCAGGGTCGTTGTAGAAACAGATGCACAACTACGTGAGAGTCTGATGTTACTTAATGAAAGGACTATTTGTAGAAGTGTGCAAAGTATGAAAGAACAAAGACGGTGAGACATCAGGAATTGATAGAACTGCAGGGGAAGAAATATCCCAGCCTCTCTCTCCTTTTACCCTCTAACCTCTTGCTGTGGCTTCCCAGTGACCTGGCTCAATCAGAAACCAGCAGAGCAAGAAACCAGAGTGATGTAATCTGTAGGGGTCAGTCTCCCACGGCACAAGAGAGAACAAGGGCAGAGAATGCTTCTGGGAAGGGGACAAAGGAGAATAACCAGCAGGATAGTTTATTCTCCCCTATTTCCTTGAAACTACACACCCATCCTGGGTCTGTTTCTACTGAATGGGTTGGTGTCCATGGCCATGTCTGCACTGATGGATGGATGAGCTGGCTAGAATGGTTCTGGGCGTTTGTGACGTTGTCAGGGAAAGGAAGAAACTGGCTTCTGATCGCCTTTCCTTTGGCCCTCAGGGGATTTATCCCGAGCCAATGCAGAACTCTCCCTGGAGCAGGAGCAACGTCTCAGGAACAACTTCATCTGAAGTCATCACCACACTCCCAGTCCACACACCAGATACCTCAGCTTACTGGAGCCATGCCCTTCACAGAGCCCTAATTCAGAGGGAAAGGGGCCAGTGCCAAGGGGCACCAACAACCTGCTCAGGAAGTCTTCTGAAGGCGAGATTACCAAACCAGGATGTTGCTGGGCCTATCTGCTAAAGGCTTTTGGCCTATGGCTTCCAGACTCTGTTCACTGAGCTCCTCATCCATAAGGAAACCTTTCCTGGATTGTGCCCCAGTGTTCCTTGCTTCAGGAGCTCTCAGTTCATTAGAGATGGACTATGACCCAGGTACTTTGTAAATGTCCTAGAGGAGTAGAAGGCAAACGACCAAAACACACAGGAGGTGGGGGCCAGCTCTTTGCTAGCCCAAAGCAACACAGCTCAGGCCAAACTGGCAGAGATAGGGGTAGATTCAGACTCTTGCTATTTGGCCTCATCCCTCCTACTTTAACAGTCTGTCTTTAGGGGTTTTTTCCTTTCAAATATCCTTGGAAGCTAAGGCCTTATCTCCTGATGGGCCTATACCATTGGTTACTGAGTGCTTGCAATGGGGCAAGTTTCACAGAAGTGGCCGAGTAGAGCCATCCTGCAGAGCAGCAAGAAAAGGCCAAGCAGAAAAGCTACTGGGATAATATGGGCCCCACCCACCCCTGCCAGGCAACCCAGGCTCTCTCAGGACCATCGTGCATCTCAGGAGTAACTTCAAGTTCAGGTCTCAACCAGGTTTCTAGACTGAACTTTGCATTTCACAAATTTTTGCAATAGGTCATCATACCAACCCCTAATATCCATAGGAATAGAAAGACAGCTCCTGTTGAATGGAGAAGTTAGAGGGGAAACAGTTAATTAAGAACTGAACCTAGGAAAGGCCACTATCCCTGCTTGATGTGGCCGGGATATGCTCTTGCTCAGGTAGTATAAAATCCCATGATCTTCTTGGAAATGACTCTTACTTAATCTTTTCTCCCTGAGATACACTTAAGAGAGGATCCTTTCAGATCTGACACTTGAATGCCAATAAAGGTTACCTATCATGGGCCGCTACAAGGACAAGACCAGCTGTGATTCTGTAAACTAACGTTACCACTTTTCCCTCCCACTGAGCTGGGAGTAGCATTGCAGGGCACACATTCTCATGATGGTGTGAGGAGTCCAGCCTCCTACCAATGACCACGCCATGTCCAGGTTCAGTGCCGAAACATGAGTTAGAAAGGGTAAGGGATGAAAAGAGCAAAAAAGGTAAAATCCAAGGATTGTAAACTTAGATAACTGAGGCTGCACAACTGAGATGACTAGGGCAGATGTACAACAGTACAATTTACAACAGTCTCCCTGCCCTGCTCCCCCCCCCACACCCACCCACCCACACACCTTGACATACATACCCTCTCTTTAGGGAGTAAAATGGGACATGCTCTGGGTACTCTGAGTACAAAGAAGTACTTTCTTCTTTCTTCTCTACCTTCTTTATCAACTCCTTCATCTCCTTCATTAGCAGAAGGAGCACTGTATTTTGGCATGACAGTTTAGGTAAACAAGGGAAGGACTGATTTCCTGTTGGACCCAGCAAACCAGTCCCAAACAGTAACAACATTATCCTCACACATGCAGCTAATGGTCTGTGAAAGAATGTGCAGTTAGCAGGCGAGCGTGTGGTGACTGATGACTAGACCCGGCAGGGAGGTTAGCCACCACTTCTTGCTGGATCCAGTTTCCAACAGGGCCAGAAAAAGCAGGCCGGGCGGTCAGCCACTGGCTCTAGTTCCAGCCTTGCTGCCCACATCACACGTTTGATGGGTGCAGCCAGTTCTCATTCCTGGAAAAAAACCATACAAGGGTTGTGCTGTTACACCTCTGAGCTGAAAAGGAAAGGACACGGAAGGCCCAGTGGCTGGCATGACTTATAACTAGATGAAGAATGTTAAACAGAACACCAACCACCAAATTCCAGATGGAATAAAAAATGTCAGAAGGCTTTGACCTCAGCATACATCAGTCTAAGAGAAACTACTAGAAACCTCAAGCTTGCTATTCAGAAGTCTAATTTATCTGTATTCTTAACGACTTCCACTCTGTGAGGAGCATATTAGAACTCACGGGGAATGTACCTTTTTATTATAAATCCCAGGGGACTCTGGGACTTAGACATTCAACATATAGGAAGCAATGCAGATGCACAGCAGGGTACGTACACTAGCTGTCTTTCCAAATATTTAACAAAGCAGCCAATGGTTGCTACAGGTTACGAATTGGGCTGCGAACCACAAGGTCAGCAGTTTGAAACTACCAGCTGTTCTGCAGGAGAAAGATGAGGCTTTCTGCTCCCGTAAAGACTTACAGCCTCAGAAACCCTGTGCAGGGTCGCTATGAGTTGGAACCAACTCCACGGCACATAACCAACCAACCATTATCTACAGCAATATCCTTAAAAGTGAAAATGCTATTAGAAAGGGAATGCATCCTCCAAGGCAGGGATAGGAGCAATCATCTCTTTATTATTACTTAGGGTCATTGCAGGAGCCCTGCTGGTACAGTGGGCTATGAAACAAAAAGTCACCACTTAAAACCCACCAGCCACTCCACGGCAGCAAACTATGGCAGCCTACTTCCATAAAGATTTAGTATTGGAAACCTTATGGGGTTGCTATGAATTGACGCAACAGCAATGGATTTGAGTTTTGGTTAAATTCACTCTTACCTTTGAGGTGTATTGATCTATATGAAGCTTGGCTGAGGTTCTCTGTTATTTCCTTTCAAATAGACTCAGACTGTTCAACTAGACTTGCGTATCTGTAGTTACAAGCCAAAGAGAGGGGGCTGGACTACATAGTAGTGGGATAGACGGGTCAAGAGAAGGACTTATTTAATATCCCAAACTTAGAATAAAGGAACTGGGCATGAACGAGGGACACTGGCAAAATTGACCAAGAGTGAGAAAAGCAATGCTGAGGAGCTGCAAGAGGGTGCTAAGACCAGAAGAGCAGCAGGCACAGTAAGGAAGGTCAGGACTGAGTCCTAAGGCCAGGGTTTGTGAACAGAGCCCCATTCCACCATGTCAGTGCTAATAAGCCATCATTGTCATGGGTGCGAAATCACAGAGATGAGGTAGTTGCCCTAGTTGAAAACACAATGAAACATTCCTTTTTGCCACCTCAGCATCTTCATGTCTGGCACTTCTTCAGTGCAGAACTCCTTTCCAAAAATACTGAGACTGCAGATATAAGACAAATAAAGCCTGAGGAAACGGCTCTGACTTGTTGGTGCCCTTTAGGAAACCTCTGACTGCCCAGAGATGTTTACTTTATCCTGGCTGCTCTTCATTGTAACAAATGGGCTGGCGCTGCTTGCCAGGTGCCTCTGGCATAGGCTGAGCAGGTCGCACCAAGAACATGCTGTGTGCCAGATGCTTCCCACGGGATGTCAGATTTGACAGAGATGGAAAAAGGGCAAGCGGCTGGGGTAGGGGTGCACCAGAAGGGCAGGAAGGGGAGAGAAGTTGCTGCATACCAATGCCCAACAAACCCAAGATAGCCACTTTGTAGTAAACTCTGGACAGAGACAATCAGCTCTCTATACAGACCCATTTAACCCATGCACAGCCCCATAACGGTAAGACAGCCACTCTATTTCTTTGTGGGAACGAAAAACTGACAAACACCAGAGTGATACATGTTATAAAATGGCTTTAATCTCTCCCTCTCAAAACATGGTATTACTGCTTAATATCCTATCAGGAATTAGGCCGACATGGCCCCTGGCTGCTATGCAGCTGGAGAAGCCCCATTTGGCTCAATACAAACTATGGAGTCCAAATACCCACATCTGCTGCACGGCACCAATTTTGGAGTTCTGAAAACTGACGGTGGAGATTCTGGGTAGATCAAGTACACTGAGCGCTGCTCTGTCTCTATGTGCTAACTTCTCCCCCTGTCCCCCAACACTGCCGATGATCTCAGCGCTGCGAACTCCCAAAGTGCTTGGCTTTGCAGGGCCTTCACCTCCCATCACTTCAGCCTTGAGTCTTCTGTTCTGTTGTTCAGTATTTCCTGAAAACATCCTGGAAGTATGGCCTGGCTAACAGGACTACCCTTGCCTAGGGAACTCTTGGGAGTCACAACTCCCAAGTTTCTTCCTGGTTGATGGCTCTCTTCTGTGTCCACCACAGTAGGACGATTCCAAAGCACTGCATTTAGAAGTGAAGATAGACAGAAGTCTACTTTTTCAACATCCAGTCAGTCTTTGTCTTGATGACTTTATCTCTTTCTTTCATTAACATGCACATCTGCATGTACACAGAGCTCTGGAAATATCCTCTCATCTGAAGACTGTGGAAACATTTTTCTGAATGCATGGAATTATCCCTTTCATTGAATGATGTTCAAACAGCAGATTGGTCTCTGCCTTCCCAGATGTCTTCCCGTTGCTTGGCTTCCCACCGTTTTCTCTCTGTAAATAAGGGCAGTGTTAAAGTACTTGTGTATTTCACATAACCAGAGGCTTTCCCTTCATCTAAATTACAAAGCACACTTTCATCATCGGACAGGTGGGTTTCCTGGCCTTCTCTTACCTGATTCCAAGAGTTAATACCTATAATCTTCCAAGTGCTTCTTAAGGGGAAACAACACCATTCTAAGTCTTTACATTTATTACTGTATCATAACAGAAAGATATAGGGCTAACAGAAATAAAATAAAAATACATGGAACAAGTCAAAATCTAGCAGGCCCCGATTCTAGTCTTGCTGATATGTATTTCTTTTGATTTTACTTCTCTACTATATTTATTGCTTCAAAACAATTATTCCTTTATCCTCAGTTTACTGAATCTTTACAAATATTTCAACAAGTATCAAGAATATGTTTAAATATTTCTCTACCTTTTTCTCAAATGAAAATGGTAGCCACTGGCTACCTAAACTGAGGGGGCGACAAAGGCAAATAGTGATTGATTGCCTTACAAGTTTTCAAGAGGAATTTTAGTTTAAGAGTATGTGGGGGACGATAGAGTCCCCATTGAATAGGTTTCATCTTGTCTAGACGGGTCTGGTGAAAAGAGATGGGGATAGGATTCTTATGATTCAGCAGTGAGTAATTGTTACCATGACTAATTATAACTGTCACACCTGTAAAGGTAAAAGTTTTGTAACAAAAAATGGGGGAGTAGTTAATCTTACAGTCCATAGGACCCTAGGACAATCAAGGGAAAAGAGCACTTGCAGAATGCAGGACCTTATCCAGAGAAGCAGTGACATCAGAGATGGAGGCAGAGATGAGGACATGGAGAGAGGGAGCAGCTGAGGACTCTAGATTCATGGAAAGAGAGGGACTGAGTGCTGGTGGCCAGGAGGCAGGCTTGCAGAATGTACCCATTGGTTGTTTAAATTATTATATATTCCTGAGTGTTTTTGGGTACATCTCCCCACCCCACCCCACCCCACCCCACCCCCCCAAAAGGAAAAAGAAAAACAGAGGGAATGGAAGCAAATACTGTTGAATGATGATGCATGGAGGAGATTGTAATCATTGCAATGAAACAATAGTATGAAGTCGATGTTCTCCCATGTAAACTACCATTCAGTTCACACACACACACACACATATATATATATATATAAAAGCAAATTGAATCTCAAAGCACTGAAATCTGAGAATGATTTCAGGAGCCAGAATCTTCTGGAATATACAATTCCAATATAGGAAAACGACCATATATAATGGAGAACTAAACGCTATTTCTTTTTTTTTTTTTTTTTAAAGTAAAAGCACATATCTGGGCAATTTGATCTTCTATTTTTAATACAGAGATTTGGTTGTCCGTTTAACACTTTCATCAAGACCTGAGAAAATATAGACCACACACAGCTTGATAACTGAAGCACTTCATTGTTTTTAAGTGCCATCGAGTCACTTCCAATTCAGTGACCTTGTATAGGGTTTCCAAGAAGTGGCTGTGTAGGTTTGAACTGCACAGCTTGTGGTTACCACAAATGCCACTTCTAATTTCATGACTAGTCATTTATCGTATGATAAAATGTAGCTAAGCTTTAGTACTTCCAAGGACTGTTGTTTAAGATGGATAATATCTACAAAAGATTTTTCAAGTCATAAACCACAGGGACCACAAAAATCAGGGTGAGTTTAGGGTTAACCCTTGCTATTCTGACATATCTTTCCAAATCAGCAGAATCGCTTGCAGGATTCCTACAGTATATCCAGCTGCACTTGCAGGGTAACGAACTTGATTAGAAAGCTTGGAAATCAAGAAGGAGGAATCTGCTGCTATTTGGGCACCATCTTGTGGCATTATCTGAATACAGCAGCAAGGTTACAAGAGGCAAAAACTGGGGGTCAGCAAACCTCAAACTGAAAGGCTATTCACTACAGCACCCTGTGACTAACTTGAGTTAGGTGAGTATTCTCCAGCTAGCTTCCCCACTAAAGCTATTAGCTTGGCTAAAGGACTCCAAGATTACCGAGGAAGGCACTGCAGTTAAGAATCTTACAAGAAGATCGGAGATTGAGATCTAAAGGCAAATGCAACCAGAATCAGAAACAGGATCCCCCCAAAAAGCGAAGAAATCAGAAAAGTGAATTTTTAGAATGAAATTGTTTTAATAATTATTTTAATAAGCTCACAAACTTACATTCGAAAGGTAATATGTTGTTGTGAATAGTCATCGAGTCGATTCCAACCCATAGTGACCTTGTACGGGGTTTCCGAGGAGCAGCTAATGCGCATGAAACACGGACCTTGCAGTTCAAATCAACTTGGCAGTCCAACACATTAATCCACAGCATCATACCAGGACCCGTATATAGGAAGTGGTATGTATAAAAGGAGTCCAGGTGTGGCACTGCAGGATAATGTACTTAACCACAAGATCAACAGTTCAGACCTCACAAGCCACTCCTTGGAAATCTTATACAGGGTCACTATGAGTTGAAGCCACTCAACAGCACATAACAACAAAATCAACAACATAAAAGGCAAAGAAATCCAGGAGCAGTAGACAAGTATATTGACTGGTCCCAAATCCACAACTCCAAAGTCAAAACTGTTCTGAGTGCTGAAAACAAAGATGTTGTGAAAGGCACAAGGTTCTTTCTGGTTTTTGTATATCCCACTCAGTATAAATAGTCATACACACTGCTGCAGAAATATCATGCTAATGGGTTTGACTTTGACCCCACAGGTTGGTTACATTATGAAAGACACCTAATATCTGAAAATCTCAGAAATCTCAAACATTTTAGTCTCAATGTTTTCTAAGATTCCTATTACAGAACATATCTAGTAAATACAAGAGGAAATTCCAGTGGTAAATCAGATGAGAAAATGAGTAAGAGTCAAGAGACAAACTGAGAAACACAAAGAAACTGGAAACGTCAAGGAATAAATTGAGAAATACCAAACATGAACAGCAGAGAAAATTATAGGTTACAATGAGACTTTTCGCAGACTTAAAAATAGTTTCTTCATTTTAAAGAAGAGTAAACAGAAGCTTGAGAGGTTAAATGACTAGGAGTAAGGCTACACAGAGGAAGACGTGAGCTAGAATCCAGGCCCTTAATTCTTAAACCAGCAGACTTGACTTTACACTTCCTTGACATCTTAAAATATAATCTGAAAATATCTACAAAGAAAGTAAAACAAATGTACTGACAAAAAGATAAAGAAACATGATGTCTCTTATTAGACAGAAAGGAAGGCGGATAATAGCTGATAGATGCATGAAAAGAGCTATTAATTTTACTTTCAACAATTAAGAAAAGTAAACTTATGTGAACAGAAAGCCCAAACAGCAGACATAAGGGCAAGTTATTAAGGAAGAACAGAATGAATTAGTGTATAACGTGATTAACCTAAAACATTCATATAAGCTGGCCCTGAAGATTTTAATTCCCCTGTATAATAATAAATTGACAGAAATGACTATAAGAAATGAGTTGATTGAAATCACAATGTGGTCTGCAACCACTTCTGACAGAGAGAAAGGAAAGTGTTAGAGATTGAAAAAGGGCCACTTTAGTGTCACCTTTAAAAAAATAAAAATAAAGAAAAGGGATGATCCTGCAAATTAAAAACTTTCAAAATTTCTCTCTACACCTAGGAAAATAACTGGGGAGAAATCAAAAAATCCATTTGTAACCACCTACAGAGTAATAATCAACATGCTTTGTTAAGAACAAGTCTGGTCAAACAAATCTAATTGCCTCCTTTTATGGAGTGACAGACCTGGTAGATCAAGGAGAAATAATAAAAGCAACCTCTTAATTTTAGCAAGGTTTTAGATTTAAAAATTTTTACCAAGTATTTACATAATCATCAATATAATGGGAAAACATAGTCTGGATCACATTACGTGCTAACATTTGAAAGAGTTAACATTGGAAAGAGTTAAATGTATTGGAGTCAACACAATGTACTGTATCAGAGTCAATACAAGAACTACATGCTACTTACTTATTATCAAGATCCAGATGAGGTATATAAATTTATTAAAAGCAGATGGCAACAAAGAATAGACAAATACTGCCTGTGGTTAGCAATTAACAAAAATTCAAACATTTGGCAAGAAAAGGCCCAAAGACCTAGATTATGAGCTGCTGATGCATCACTAACCTTTAAGGCAGAAGGACAGAATAGGTAAAAAGGATTTCAGAAAGCAGCAAGTGTGATTACATTATCTTTTATTATAGTTGACTCTCTGTCCTATATACACATTTTTACTTTAGGTTCTTAGTAATCTCATTAATTGAAGCAGGTAGCTAGGTTACGCTTACCTACTCTGCCTTTCCAACCGAGGATCCAAAAGATGCCCTCTAGAAGGAGTCATCACCTATCCCTAAGAATAAAACCAAAGTAAGTTACAGAAACTACAGCAGTCATTGAAAATGACGGGTACTTATTCTGTGAAGTAATGATACCTCCAATTTTACGTGGGAATCCAGTGTTTTGAATAAGTAAAATTGGGGAAATTGTGTTTCTATCCCTGAGTGTTAGTTGTCTAGTGCTACTGTTAATAGAAATACTATGAGCCAGTAACTTTAACAGAAATTTATTTTCTCACCATTTAGGAGGCTAGAAGTCTGAATTCAGGGTGCTAGCTCTAGGGGAGACTCTCTCTCTAGCTCAGGAGAAGGTCTAGGTCTCTTCTAAGCTTCTGCCCCTGCTCCATCTTCAGGTAGATTGGTGCGTCTCTTCCCCGAGCTCAGCTTGCTAGCTTGTTGGTTTAATCTCTTTTATATCTCAAGACACACCCTACACAAATCTTAGAATCCTATCACTTTAACATAACAAAGACAACCCATTACAAAATGAGATTATATTTAACCATCAGATCATGGAATGTATGAAGTTAAGAATCTAGGAAAATTGGAAATTGTCAAAAAAGAAATGGAACACATAAACAATGATATCCTAGACATTAGTGTGTTAAAATGGAT